TCTTTGTGAGACAGGGTCTCGCTATGCAGTTCAGGCTGGCCTTGAGCTCACTTTGTAGCCCAGGTTGGTCTCGAACTCCCAACAATCCTCCTGCCTCAGCCTCCCGAGTGCTGGGATTATAGGCGTGCGCCACCATGCCCGGCTAAGGTCTTTTTCTCTGTTCATTAGATCTCAGTGGATTGTGGCCCCAAATATGGTACTAACACTAGAATCTTTCTGGCTCTAGGTAGAAGCGGGTGGGAGAAGCCGGAGAGCACAGATGTCACAGGGGCTTAGAGCTCTAGCCAAAAGGCCAGGAGAGGAGTCTTACTCAAGAGCACAGAAAAGGTAGAGTGCAGGGGCTGGGGATTTAGCTCAGTGGCACAGCGCCTGCCTGGCAAGCGCGAGGTCGTGAGTTCGATTCCTGGTACCGAAAGAAAAAAAAAAGAAAAGAAAAGGTAGAATGCCCCCCCCCATGCCCCAAGGTAAAAAAGGAGGAAAGTCGTTGTCCAGTCACTTACCAATCTTCCTGGCTGCTTCTAGCTGCTTGTAGGTGGCCAGGCGGCCGCCTTCGAACTCACACACCGCCTTAGCTTCTGCGTAGGTGAGCCTGTACCTGCCGGACCGGGCTTCTCTGTGGTACACGCCAGCTGCTTGTTCTGTGAAGTTACAGAGCGTGGTCAGAGCAGATCACCCCCGCGCGGGGAACAAGGGAACTCTGCCTCAGCTGGAAGATTACATCAGCAGTGGTTCCTGCCAGACAGTTTCCGGGGTCAGCTGCCAGACTGGCTAAAGTCTGCATTGTTAGAAAGCTTTGGAAAAAGTATGAATGAGGGGACTTGTAGGGAAACTGTGGGTACATAAGTGAAAATTTGAGGCTATATTATTACGTTTCTGACATGGTAGCCAGAAGGTTTTTTTGTTTGTTTGTTTGTTTTTGTCTTTTTGAGACAGGGTCTCGCTATGCAGTTCAGGCTGGCCTTGAGCTCACTGTGTAGCCCAGGCTGGTCTCGAACTTGCAATGATCCTCCTGCCTCAGCCTCCCGAGTGCCGGGATTACAGGCGTGCGCCACCACGCCCAGCTGGGAAGGTTTTTTAATACAATATTGTATTTCTACATTATCCTCAAGGGATAAAATTTTGGATTTCTCTTGATTTTAGTAAAGTCATAAAAACTTGGAAGGATAAACAACGGGGCAAAATGAATTAAAAGCAAAAGAAACCAATAAAAGTGATGTATTATGCAGGCTCAGTGAGGAAGAACGTCAGGCCAAAATATCCATTTGGGGGAAATGACTAAGGCAGTACAATGGAGACTTCAGCGCATAAATCAGAAACTGCAGGAAAGTCACAAGGAAACCAAAGCAAACAGATGCGTACCAACAAAAAGAGAAACGGCCTCGGGCACAGCAGAGGGAACGCCACACCACGTGCGTGTGGTGCCTCGCTTTACCTGCTGCTCCTCTGTAGCTCACGCGCCGTTCCCAGCGTGTTCTAGGCAGCGGTAAGTCATACACGAGCTGTTTTCTGATAGATCATTGTCTGAGTGGATTATTTTGAGTGTAGAGTGTCTTCTGCCATAGAAACCATGTGAAAGGACTCCCAGGACAGTAGTCAGAGGCTAGCTGTAACACTTAGCTCTGCAGGCCTGCCCGAGTACTACGGCTGAGTACTTGTATGAGGACCTACGCAGTCAGCCGCCACTGGGAGTATTTTCAGTAAGAATGCGTGTTCCTTGGCACGCAGCCGGCCGGAAATGCAGGGGTATTAGTTCTAATGTGAGCTGGGTGCAGGGGTGCACGTCTGTAATTCCAGCCACATGGGATGCTGAGGCAGAAGCAGTGCAGGCGTGAGGCCATCTTGGGTAACTTAGTAAGATCCTGCCTCAGAAGTACAAATGGAAGGGCTTCGGATGCAGCTCAGTGGTAGAGCGCCCCTGGTTTCCATTCCTAGCGCCTGGAGGTAATTCTAACTCAGTTTGTTGTTCTCCTCAGGCTGGTTTAAAGCTGGTGCTGCCACAGTTCCGTGGCCCGAGGAGTGAGAATGTGCCCGCTCTTCTGGACTTCAAGGGGTCCGGCTCTTTACAGTATGTGGAAAAGGCCCGTCCTACACACAGAGGGCCTTGGGCAGTTCAGTGCTCCTGGACCAGAGGCTGCCACTCAGAGCCAGAGGCAGCACATCCCAACTCCTCAGAGATGTCTTTTTAAAGACTGACTGTTTTCCAAGTGTCCTTCACATGGCAGGGCCTCAGCAAACTTCCACTACCTTCCAGTTTGGGGGTGTGTGTG